ATTATTTTCCTAACAATATTTTTCCGGTACCAAAGAGATGTTTTATTTCCTTCTCCTGCCTTTAGTTTATTCTCTGTATCTCTATTTTTAAAATATTGATAAACATATAGTATAATTCTGTAAGTGCTAATTGGCTAAGCAATACATATTTAGTCTCTATCTTTTCTCAGATAGCAACTTAAATTTATTTTTAATTTTGAGGCTGCACTTTCCTAAATGTCTGTTAGTTGGGTGCTCTTAATTAATACTGAGTCCCAAATATGCAACTGAAGTAGTTGCTCCATAACCTCCCGCTCCTGTTTTCTAAGCTGAAGGAAACCAACCCTAGGACAGCATAAAGATGCTTATGAAGAAGTAAAATGAGAATAAGAGAAAATGGCTTCCCCACCCTCCCCAGAAAAGTTAGTGACCAGATCGAAAGAGGTTTGATCAAGCACAAGTGCACTAGATTAGATTTGCAAGGCTGAAATTGCCTACTGATCATTTCCATGGCAGAAACCACAGACAATTATGTACATTCCGGGTCAGCAACGTGGGAGATAAAACTGTCTAAAGCACTATCAATGACAAATGTGAGCTCATAACTCTGCTGAAACTGAAACCAGTTATGAAAGAGAACTACTAGATGCCCTAGGCCTGCACACAAAGTATTCTAGGCAATCTTAGAAATCAAATAGTTAGCATACATCTTTGAGGCTCTACTTCATGAATGTCTCTGCACAATGGTGGGGGTGAGGGGGCCAATTTTTTATTTGTTTCTTTGTTTATTTTTTTGACGTTTGTTTGTTTGTTTGTTTGTTTGTTTGTAAGTGTGTTTGAATCTTGACTCTGAAGGTTATACAACCTCTCTGAGTCTAGATTTTCCCATCTATGAAATGAAGAAAACCATACCTATCTCTCAAGATCATTATTTATTATAGCAGTCTGGGTCTGGTCCGGAAAACAGAACCATATCAATTATTTTAACAGAGAGAATTTAGTATAGGGAATTAGTTAAGCAGTTGCTAGAGAAACAAAAAAGCAAAAAAGAGGCAGTGAGGAAGCAACTACCACCCCAAGGGTTGAGAGAGCAGAGGGCAGAGATTAGAGCTATTAGAACCTACGACCTTAAAAAAAGACTCCTGTGAGGAAGGGGTGACAGCTTCTGAGGTACTACTGACACCACAGGAGCTTAGAGACCCACAGAGCTGAGCCTCAGCTAATATGGAGAAGGGGCAACAGAGAGCTGAACACTGGAACCAGTCGCCACTGCCAGGGTGATAAGCTATCACCGGGTAACACTCTCAAGGATCAGTGAGAATGCAAGAAGGAGCAGGTTCCTTTCTCACTCAGCCTCGGTCTCCCTCTGGCACCTCTCTGGCAGAAACGTGACTGCAGAGAGCCCCGGATTTATAAAGCAGAGCTCAAAAGGCCGGATTTGGAGCTGAGAGATGATTTCTTAATACATGGCCCATTCATCCATTCATTATGTCCATTTATGGAGTGTTTACTGTGTGTCCAACAATCAGTCTCTCTGCTAGACACTGGGGAGTCTGAAAAATTAAATAGAGCTCTTATAAAGTGCACAGCTCAGTGACTAGTGCAACAAAGACCCAGCTCTACTCCCTCAGGCCCAGTGGGAAACATAAAGGAAAAGGGAAAAGAAAACAAAACACAACAAAACACCAACTCCTGCTTGTCAGGAGTTCTGTATTTGGATGAAGTGTTGCAGGATAAGTCAAAGCACAAAGTACAAAGTCATACGTGTTTGTACACTTTAAAAAGTTTTTCAGACATAACCATTTTAAGAATTTAGAGAAGCAAATGAATATTTTGGAAACTATCAGAGAAGCCTTCACAACACAGACAGGACAATGGCCCAGAGGGGCGAGACTAGAAATGGGAGGAGGCGCATGAGCAAATCAAACATGGTGGGAACTTGCCACACGCTTACGCTGCAGCCTCATCTGTAGGGATGGAAGAATGGTTGGTAACACGGAGGATGGAAGATGGGCCCAGCCGAACGTTTCTTGACTCTATTCAAGGTGCAGAAGAGCCCTTGGAGCTTTTTAAATGAGTAGAAATTATGTGTAAAAAATATTAGCTTTGTAGTCTTTATTATAGCTAACACAATACCTCACATATAGTGGAATATTTGGGGAAAAAAGTATTATATTGAATAGGGTGAGATGGGATGGGATGGAATTTTGAAGGCAGGTCTTAACTTTGAAAATATGCATTTATTTCCCTCTGTTTTATTTTATTTTATTTTATTTTATTTATCTTAATTAGTTTCAAGTATACAGTACATTGGTTAGACATCTATATAATTCATAAAACGATCCTCCCAATTGCTCCCTCCCTCCCCTGGCCCTCCACCTAGCCAACGTATTAATGAGCTGCATTCCCTATGCCGTGCTCTCCATCCCTGTGACCATCCATCAGCTACTAATTTGTACTTCTTTAATCCTTCACCCCATTCTCCTAGCCTCCCACTCCCCCTATGCCTCTGTCCATCACCAAATTGTCCACAACTTTTGTGAATCTGTTTTTGATTAGTTTGTTCTTTTTATTCCTTCGATTCCGCATATAAGTGAAATCATATAGTGTTTATCTTTCTCTTTCTGACTTAAATACCTTCTAGTTCCATCAAAGCAATATCTTTTTCCATCCCCTTCCTTTTAGTATGCATGTGTCTTTTAATTTGAGGTGAGGCTCTTGTAGGCAGCACATGTAGGGATATTATTTTCTTTTCCTTTCAACCACTCTATCTTTTGATTGGAGCACTTAATTCTTTTCCATTTGAAGTACTTATTGATAGGAACATAGTTGTTACCATTCTTTATTCCTGTTTTTGATACATATTTTTCTTCTTAAAGAAGTCCCTCAAACATTTCCTGTAATACTGGCTTAGTGGTGATAAATTCCTTTAGCTTATTCGTGTCTGGGAAGCTCTTTATCTGCCCTTTGACTTCAAATGATAGCTTTGCTGGATAAAGTATTCTTGGTTGTAGATCCTGGGTCTTCACCTGTCAAATATTTTGTGCCAAGCCCTTCTGTCCTGCATAGTTTCTTTTTGAGAAATCAGCTGCCAGTCATGTGTGTTTCCTTATAGGTAACTATCTGTTTTTCTCTTGCTGCTTTTAGTATTCTTTCTTTGTATTTAAACTTTGGCATTTTAATTATGATGTGTCTTGGTGTGGGCCTCTTTGGATCCCTGGCTTTGGGAATTCTCTGAGCTTCCATTTCTTCACCAGGTTAGGGAAGGTTTCCATCATTATTTCTTCAAACAGTTGTTTAACCTCTTGTTTTCCTTCAGGTACACTGATCAGACGGATATTTGGACCCTTAATAGTGTCCCATGTGCTCCTTAAATTATTTTTATAGTCTTGGCATCTTTTTTCTTTCTATTCTGATTGAGTGTCCTTAGCTTTTCCATCCTCTAGGTAGGTTATTTGATCCTCTTCTTTATTCACATCATCTATTCCTTTGTTTATTCCATTTAATATACTTCTCATCTCGAATAATGTGTTCTTCATTTCAGACTGGTTACTTTTTATAATTTCCATTTCCATTTTTATGTTTTTTATCTTTGTTGAAGTTCTCACTGAATTCATCTACACTTCCCAAAAGTTCATAGAGCATCTTTATAACCAGTGTTTTGAACTCTGCATCTGTCAGATTACTTGACTCCATTATATCTGGATCTCTGTTCTATTCTCTCATATGGTTTCTGCTTCCTTGTCTTCCCATTTGGCTGCCTTTCCATGTATGTTTCTATGTACTAAGCAAAGTTCCTAAGTCTACAAGTCTTATTAGTGTGGATTTGTGAAGTAGGTGTTCAGTCGCACAGTCCTGAGAGGGATTCAGCTGCAGTTCAATTTTAGCCCCAGCCTGTGCCCCTCTGGGGCCACCTGTTAAGATTCAGCAAGCAATCCACAGATGCTGTGCCTATAGTTGCCTCAAAAGGCCATGCCAGAAACCGAGGCCAGCTGCCTCCAATGTGAGTCTTAGCAAGGAGCACCTGACTCCCTGAGGGGATACCTGGTGTGGCTTGGGTGGGGCCGCAAGTTGGGGGAGGCCGAGTTTCAGAGAATTCTCTGGGCAGAGAGACCTCTGTTATCCAGTTTAATGATGTCTCGGCTATGGCGGCGCTGTGTCCCCACACTGGGTGGAGGGGGACTCAACAGGGAACGATGGGTACTGCCGCCACTTTTGTACAGAGCAAGTCTTGCCTAGGCCCTCACTCAGACAATGTCTCCCTGTAAATCCCTGGTGCCTCCTGCGCACAGCCTAATTGTCAATGGTGCTTATAACGAGCAGGTCTGTCACCACAAAATTCCTCTTATGGACTCGGCCCCTTTAAGAGGCATCTGCCGCTGCCGCTGCCGCTGTCACAGCCTCACTTATCCAACTGCTCACTTAGCCGTTGTATACCCAGCAGCCCAGTGTCCTTACCCCGTTCTACCTTCTTCAGGGTGCTTTCTTGGACTTCTCCCTAGTTGTATGGCTTATTCCTCTAGATCCCAGGTGATTTTTCCTTGCTGCTGCTCCTTGTTTCCTTCACAACTTTGATTGGTCATCAGAGGAATGAACAGAGTTTCTAACATCTATGTCATTTTTTTCCACCTCCCTCTGTTTTAATTATAAAAATAAATACTTTGTAAAATGTTCTGTGTGATCAATGAGCTATTTTTAGTCTAAATTCAGGAAATAAAAAGATTTGACAATGAAAAAAATTAAAATAAAGAGGTAACCCACCCATCAAGACACTGTGTTTTTCACAGACTGAGACCTTAACTTCAGAGTGAACACGATGTTGACCAACGTTGACTTTGCAGAAACGGGGAGGGGCTGTTTAAAGATCATGGACCTATGCAAGAAGAGTATTGGAAGACATGTTTTTGAGTCAATTTTAGTGATTCATATAGAAAAAATAACATAATTGGTGTGAATTTTTAATATGAGTTTGCAGAGTATACAGTGTACCCACATCTAATCTCTTGTTTTTTCCTTGGCAGATCCATTACAAGATTTTGGCTTTTCCATTGAACAATGTTCCAAACAATTAAAATCAAATCTCAACATTAGATTTGGAATCATTCTGAGTGAGTAAAAGTTATTGACATAAAATAAAACATTGCACAGCATCTTCCTGGTTCACACACACAACCACTTATACTAACTGTATTGCTGGCAAAGCTGCTGTTCTCCATCACTTTCTGGAATTAACTATATTTCCATCTTCATTTTCAGTTCTCTCTCCGGGTTATGTCTAGATAGAGTAGAACTCTCATTGAATGCTGTGCTTTTGCACTGCAAAGACTCTAGATGCTCATTTAAATGATATGAGCACCTGGAATCAGCATGTCCAGCAAAGAAAGAAAATATTTTAAGCCTAAATATTGATCTCAGAAGCTCAGAAGAGAGCTTCTGCCTAGTTATCACAGCAATGAATAAGTCTACTACTGGCAGCAAGGCTTGTCTTTGTTATTTTATTTCTCAAATAGCTAATGTAAGTTCTTAAAACTTGACACAGGCAAAGATGTAATATCTTCTCCCTCTACCACAATCAATGAGCAAGAATGCTTTCTGATTATTTTTATATGGTCATGCCATTATAGTTAGTCATTATATTGCTATAGCTACTAGAGTATCTCCTTTCTAAAACAGTTTTATCAAAACCAGAGCAGAAGGATTTAATAAGCTTAGCATTTGGATTTATTCCAGAAAAATGGAGGAAACATTCTCAGAGTCCAAGAACTCTCATGCATCTTCATATTTTCAAACCCTTGCACAATATCTGAACTCTATAGCAGCTTAGTACATTAAATGATTTGAAGAAAGGAAGAAAGAAAGG